AAGCCTTCTAAAACCTTTCTCTCTTGCAACGACAATGCAAGGACACCTCCTTTATAAGTGTTTTTGTCTCTGAGTCTCTCTTTCAAACATTAGTGCAAAACATCCACTTCCCAAAAAAAACTAAGTATTTTTCTAGAATACATTTACAATAATCTTACACATGTTAAATACCAAAACTTTAGTCTTGGATCTCTAAAAAAATATATACAAACAGGAAATCAAATCACAAATGAATTAGCAACACTAACAATAACTTGAACAGTTAGACATATTTAATTAATCATATGAATTTCAAGGAAGCAACGTGGAAATTAAGGAGACTGTATTCAGCACTCTACTAGCTCCAACTCATGACACTCTACCTCCTAAACAGCCTCTCCTCAAACATCACACCTTTCCACTCTGCCATCTTCAGGCTTGTGCTTGCTCATCAGTTTCTTGTAGACTTCTGCACCTTGAGTACATCTTTCCGTTCACTTACCTACAACCTAATGTTTGCATTCCAGTGTCCCACTCAAAAACAATAAGTTCTTGTTTTCTCCTTTCTCCTCTCTCTGGTTCCTTCTGCATCTTCTCTTTGACTTAATGAGTCAGCATGGCTGATTCCTGTTTCCTCTTGATTTATCACTTTCTCACTCACTTACTTTCCTTCTCAACTTAAGACAGTTGGCTGATTAAGGGAACCATGATTAGACTATACTCAAAGTACCTAGTACATCATACCTAATACGAAATCTTCCCAGTAAAACCCTAAACCTGAATCCATCCCAAAATTGACACTAGAGTCACTGAGCATATCTGGAAAAATCATTACAAATACACAGACTTGTAACACTACAAATTTTCTCCAGTATAGCTGGTCATCAGGTCCACTCAACAGTTGTTTTAATACTTCTTAATGAGCTCTCTCTTATATTACCCTCAGTGACTGATCATAGCCCTCTTGTGCCATCAATGTAGACTCTCTACCTCATCCTCAATACCCTCTAACTCTTCCCTGAAAAGACAATGATGTCAACAAGCATGTGCTGATATTTTCTGGTCGTACTGCTCCAACTCACTTCTCTCAGACTTGGTACTTCAAGAAGAAATTGCCCTTGTTGAAACAAACCAATCCCTCCAATGATAGTCTCCATTCCATTCATTCTCATCTCCTTCATGGTGCTGCTTCATCACATACTCCCTCTCTCGCCTTTGTCTTCACCTTGTCTTCTATTTCTTTCCCTCTTAGCCTAAAACATGATTACATTTCTCTCATCCAAAAACAGGGAGCGAAAAAACTTTCCTTGACCCTTCTCTCTCTTCATTACTTTCTAGTTACACATTTTATGAATGTAATGGGATCAAGGCTTATTTTCCACTTATCTTTTATTTCATCAGCAATTTAGATTACATCACTGCCATGCTACTAAATGGTGATAATAATAGCCTTACAAAAGTAATGGTTATAGTTTAGGCCTTATCTTATTAAACCTCTCCAAAATATTTGACTCCTTGAAATTCTCTACCTTCATAATTGCTATCAGGCCACTTCTTTTTGTTTCTCCTCTTAGTTCTCTGTTTCTACTTAATAACCCTTGAGCTTCTCTCCTGTTCTACTCTAATAATCTAACGTTTCCTAGAATTCTACAATTTTTCATTATGTTTCTGTCTCTACAGGCTGTCCTTTGGAATTCTGATCCACTAACATGATATTTTTACAGCAAATGTATCATAACTCATAAATATATAGATCTGAACTTGACTTATTTTCATTGAATGCCAGGTTTATGAAGCCAATTGCAATCTGGTACATCCTATTGCCAGCTCTACAGACATAACAAAGTAAATATTTGCAAAACTAAATTTATACTCAAAATCCTAAAATGTGTTCATCTCCTTATAGTGCTGATCCCAGTTAGTAGTACACCACTACTCAACATACCAAGACAGTAGTTTCCCCAGTTATTTCCCTCACTGATATCAAATTATTTACCAAATATTATTTTTGAATATTTTAGTGTGTTAAGTAAAATTTACATAGAAAATGAATAACAAAGACTGAAGAAGAGTTGATGCTTTTGAGTTGTGTTGGTAAAGAATGCTGAAAGTACCATGGACTGCCAAAAAAAGTAACAAATCTGTCCTGGAGGAAGTGAAGGCAGAATGATCCTTGGAAGTGAGGATGGCCAGACATCATCTCACTTACTCTGGTCATGTTGTCAGAAGGGACTATTCTCTAGAGAAGGATTTCATGCTTGGTAAAGTGAAGGGTCAATGAAGGAGGGAAAGGCCCTCAATGAGATGGATTGACAAGGTGGC